TTGAATAGTATTCAGAAACTGAATAATCTGTTAATAATAAAACAAAACAAATAAACTTCTAATAAATTTCATCAATTTGATACGCATATTGAAAAAGATATTTGAATCAAAACATAAACTATTAAGATTAATAAACTAAATATAAATAGGCTAAAGAGTGTTGTTTTGCAATATCATTACTTTATCATTCAGTATCGATATCTCTATTAAAACTTATAAAAAAAATAAAGTAATTGTTAAAAAACCTGCTGTATTACAAACAAAAAAATATAAGCATAGCAAAGTACTATATTTCTGTAGTATGTGCAATAGTCAAGAAAAAGATCTAAGAGTTAAAGCAGAACATGAAGCATAAGAACAAAAACCTCTTAAAATAAAGGAAAAACATATTATATCAAACTGCCAAGTTAGATATCAGCCAGAAGATATCTCTAATGGTGAAGGGTCTTCAAATATGATAAATAAAGTTGCTTTAATAGATTAGGATATTGCTTTCATGAGTCAGGATATTGGTTTAATGGATAGTGAAACATCAGATAATGAGACATACAATTTTTCACCTCTTTCTCAGCTTGAAAATCTTCAGTTCCTTGTCAAACAGCTATCTAAAGATTTTCATAATGCAAAATTATCTTTGTTTTATTCTAGTGAAGATTTGTCATTCTTTCTAATAATGACAATAAAAACGATAACATGAAAAGTGATAAAGATTATAAAACTGAGGAAGAGAGTGAAGAAGAAGATATAATAAATTTCGATATACCTGATGTAGATGATAGCTCAGAAGCCAATATCCAAAATGTTAATAAAGATGTGCTACGAATTATATTATGGATTTTCCGTTACCAACAAAGATATCGGCATTCTGATACGAGCATTAATGTTTTGTTTAAATATTTTCGGTTTTTGTTAACCAATATTAGCAAGGAAAAATATGATAGTTTTCCTACTTCAATTAATGTAGCAAAAAATATTATTGGTATATCTGGTTGTGCAACAAGATTCGCTGCATGCGAATCTTGTTGTAAATTATATAATCCAAAAGATATTATAACAAAAAAGGCAAAACAAAATCTGAAAATACTTAATTGTACCCATGTGGAGTTTCTAAACCATACGAATATTAGCAGACAGATACTATATAGCGCAATACTTTCAACAAAAGTCAGAGTAAAAGATGGCATAATCAGAAAGCTGATATCAACTTATCTCGTAATAAATCTCAAGCAACAGCTCTAAAAGCTATTCCAGCAACTGGGATTTGAAGAAGCATGTAGAAGATAGGTCTATTGACCTTTCAAAGCCTAATTATCAGATATTTATGATAGCAGAATATGGAAATCATTCTCTAATGATGAAAAGATACCATTTTTTTATTCCAAAATGGCTGATAGCCATATAGGATTGATGATAAATTTAGATTGGTTTTAACCATTTGAAACTTCTCAATATAGTGTGAGATCATATATGCTGTCATATGTAATCTTCCATGTCAAGAAAGGTATTTTTTTTATTTTATTTTTTTTGTACATTCGATATTTTTTTTTTTTTTTTTTTATACATTTATTATATTTATTTATTTATTTATTTTTTTTATACATTCGAAAAAAGAAAAATTGATACTAAATCATCAAACATTTAGTCAAATATTCAGCTACTGAATGTTTGACGATTTAGTATCAATTTTTCTTTTTTTGACTAGTGGTATGATCAAATATAATGTTAATTTATTATGTGTAAAAGGTTTAAACTATCCAATATAATAATATTGGCTATCATACCTGAACTATCAGAACCAAAATAGCATCAATTAAATCACTACTTGGCACCTATTGTCGATCAGCTAATGGAACTTTAGGAAGGGATAGACCTATTGGCTACATTTGAGTCTCTATCTGGCAAGAGAATCAGATGCATAGTAATCTGTTATTCTAGTGACTTACCTGCAGTAAGGAAACTTTGTATGCATATTTCAGCTAAAGCTGCATGTCATCACTGCTATAAAAGAGCTAATTATGATGTTTGGAATCAACTTCATTATGGTGGTATTGCTGATATGAATTCCTGGTTTGTAGAACATGACTACAACTTTATCTGAAATAATGCGATAAATTGGAAAAATTGTAAAACTGCTAATTAAAGAAAACAGCATGTTTCCGATACTCTTGTCAGATAGTCAGAAATCTATAGGCTTCTATACTTTAATTCTGTTAGATTTCTGGTAGTGGACCCAATGTATTGCCTCTTTTTGAGAATAGCCAAATAGATCGTAACTAAATTATGGATTGAAGGTAACTGGTTAACTCCTGAAAAGTTAAAAACTATGCAGCTATTAGCAGATAAAATTAATGTACCATTAGATATTAGTAGAATCCCTTGTAAAATCTTTACCAAAAAAGGATTTTCAAAATTCACAGCAGATTAATGGAAGACTTTTATCCTTATATATGCTACTACAATTTGCTAGGATCTGTTATATAATGCAGACAGAAAAATCCTTACTTATTTTGTTCAGGTATGTAGCCTATTAGTCTGTAAAACAATTGATGAAAGAGATTTGGAAAAGGCACACCAATGTCTGATAGCTATGATAAAAATTATTGAAGAAATATATGGCTCTGAAAAAATTTCTCCTAACTTTCATTTAAGCCTTCATATTTGTGAATGCGCTTTAGATTATAGTCCCTTAAATTCTTTTTGGTACTTCAGCTTTGAACAGATAAATAGATTACTGAGTAAATATAATTAAAAAAATTAATAATTAAAATAATAATAATAATAAAATAAAAATAAAAAATAATAATAATGATAATAATAATTTAGTCAATATCTCTAAAAAAAAAATAATAATAATAATAATTTAGTCGATATCTCTATATTCTTAAAAAAAAAAAAAAAAAAAAAAAAAAAAACTTAATAATTTAGTTGATATCTCTATATTCTTAATAATATTAATTATATCTTATAAGAAGCTACAAAAACAGTAATAGAAAAATTGAGCCAGAACTTATAAATATCATCTAAAGAAATAGACAAATCGATAGATTAATTAGTGATTGTAATGATACTAATTTATCTGAAGCTTTGTCTATTCTGGCTTCAAGATAATCTTCTAGAAGTTTGGATGATTACGAAATATCTAATGAAGATGCAATAAATTTTATTTCTATATCAAGATTAGTAGAAGAGGGGGTTGGTACTGGCACTGGATCAGATTCACTTCCTGGAATCTTCCTTACACCAAAGAGAATGAATGCATATGTCTTCTAAGATTTTATGAAATTACTTACCAAATACTATAATAATGCTTACGAGACGAATATATTTATTCTATCTGAAAATTTGAAATTAGATGGGTCAATAGATATATCGCTCATAATAAATCAATATAGAAGAGTAAGAATAAGTGATGAAGTTTTCAGGTCTACCTTTTCTAAATGGCATAAAAATTCTTCAAGAATTCTTGCAAAGTTTGCTGAAGATGGAGATGTAATCACATATTCAGGTCAGGTTCAGTTCTTTTTTGAGCATTATGTTGACTATTCAGAAGAATCAATAAGCATAATCTTGCATATGTTCGCTGGTACAAAAAAATAGATGAAAAATTAAGATATCAACTTAGTATCAGCAAAAATGATGATAAACTTTGTAACGTGAAATTATGGAATAATGATTTTTATGATTTAGATCGTAATTGCATAATTCCTGTGTATAACATACTGGGAAGATTTGTTGCTAGTACTTTTACGATTAGATTGAGAAAACCTCAGAAGTATATATCAGTAATTCTGTTAAATAGAAAATATAATCTATAATGGTTGTACATACATGAGATAATCTATATTTATACATAGATATGTACTTAGTATATATTTATTGTATATCAATATATATTTAAATTAATATTACAATTGACGTATACTATTTGGATAATTAATAAACCGTAACTATAACTTGTATAACTACCACATATCAATATATAAAGATATCAATTTAATTTCTACAAGATATTTTCTTGTCTGATATTTAACTAAATTTTGTTAAATTATCATTGTCATTGTGTATTATAGGACTATCGAACAGCAGATATCTTTTTTATTGTTTAAGGCGGCTTACATTGCTGATGGAATTTTATTAGTATTTGCATACGGAATTATACATTGATAATCCTTACTGTTTGTAATTACATGAAGAGTGTACAACAA